TATAGTGCAGTATAATTTCCTATCTTCATTCCATATCATTTCTCGCGTTTTCTCTTTTGCCTCTCTCATCCACTCCCGTGCACATGTACGCTCTCCTTTCTCTCGCTTTTGCCTGGTGCCCTCCCCTTCCTTCCATCTCCACATATGACTGCCCTTGGGTTGAGCTTCAGTGTCTCTGTCAGAAACCTGAGTCTCAGCCAACAGATAAACTACAACTACACTTAATAATTAACATCGTCGGAGAGATGGAGAAGCAGGGAGACAGACAAGGTGAGAGATGGAGATAGATAGTGATACGGCGAGGGAGAGGTGAAGGAGAAAAAAAAAAAAAGAAGACAAGAAAGAGGGACAATTAGAGATGCGGTGAAGAAAAATGCCTGAGAAAAAAAAAAGCACAGCCCAGCAGCGAGATGAGAGAGGTTAAGACCCTGACGATTCAAGCTTTTAAGTGTAAACAACAGCAAATGTTACGTGGCCTCCACGCTTTGCCATCTCTCCCTAATTGCCTCCTCCTCTCATCTTCACGTTCTTCCTCCTTCTCCAAGAACCACCAGGCACACACCCCCCCACCCTCCACCTCTTCCTCCTAGTCTCCCGTGCTCTCCCTTTCTCTCCAACTCTCTCTCTCCTAGAGTGCCAACACAGGTAATAAAGGTCAGGCAGATATTATAAATCAAATCAGATCACATCTCCCTGATCTTTCTGTCATCATCCTCCACCCTTGGCTGGGATACACATGCTAAGGCCGGCGTGCGGAAACATTTTCATATGAAACGTTCATTAACTTAAAAGGATCCTCCGTAGGGACACACGGCCGTCTGGACACACACGAGATATGGCCAATTTTTTTTTCTCTTTATGCTTGATAAGGTTTTAGATTTTCCACTGTGATACCTCCTTTTATAAAAGATTATAAGATGTAAATTATAGCTTTAAATATTAGTCATAAACCATTAAGAAGAACAACCTCTGGGTTGCCAGGTTGTAAAAATCTATTTGGCTGATGTATATTCTCCTTGCTGAGTCTTTCTACCTATCTCTTAAGCTCATCAGGAAGACCTCTCCAGTGGACCATTTGACCACTTAAGTTCTGGAAAAGCTCTGAACGTAATGTGGACAAAAGCTATTTATTACCAGCTTATTAGTAATTACTTACTGCAGACTTGATGGATTATGGCTTATTACAAAGTGAGAAACCCTTGAGTCCTTATTAAAGACTTCTGAACTAAAAGATGGTATATTTTCATTAGCCTTGCTAGAAGCTTTATGGATAGAAATATCAGTTGGCCTGTTAGTCGGTTCACCACTTTGACCCAGACTGAAATAGCTCAACAACTGTTGGATGGATTGACATGACATTTGGTACAGACATCCACGTTCCCCAGAGGATGAATCCTAATGACTTTGGTCATCCTCTAACTTTTTCTCTGCCGCCACCACGAGGATCGCATTTAGCTATGGGATTACCTTATAGTCACTGTGTTTCATGTCATGCCCCTCTCTCCTCTATACTGTCCTATCCAATGAAGGCAATTTTCAATAAAGGGAAAACCAATGGACTCGTGGGTTTCACACATGAACTTCATGGATGTTATTAATTTTCTGGTTGCTTTTATTTTTTGTTACTTTTTTATGATTGCAGAGCTAAAAAGGTTATTAGAGAATAATCAACTGTGACTCTCATGACACATGACAAGTGCAGGTGAAAATCTTACTAAGTTACTGATAAAGTGTAGTTCCCTTGTCACTTTGTCACTAAGCCAAGTCAAGTCTGCAGTTGTTGTATCAGTACGTCATTAACAGTTCTCCAGATGAATGAAAGGGTTACCTTAAAAAAGCAAAGCCAGTGTACTTCTAGAGGAGGCTCAAAACCAGCCAATGGGAATTTTCACAACCAGGCAAAGCCATTTTTATTAATGACATATAACTGATCTATAATGCATTGGTAAATGATTTATTAACCAATAATAAAGCCAGTAGTTACAGCTTAAAAGGTGCCTTAGCAGAAAGTGGTATTGATGTAAAAAACATGTGGTTTCGGTGGGACTACTTATTGAGTGTGTATGAATGAGCAACCTGCTCACTAGTTTCCCCATGCTCTTTGCTGCTTGGCCCCACACTTTCACTTTGGAATCCACACACACAGACTTGATTAAACATAACCTAGTTAAGCTTCAGTGTGCATGTGTGTGTGCATGTGTGTGTGTGTGTGTGTGTGTGTGTGTGTGTGTGTGTGTGTGTGTGTGTGTGTGTGTGTAAGCACCAGAGAGAGGGAGAGAGAGTGTCTGAAATGAAGGTGGGCCAAGTTAAGTTACTGTCAAGTTGTCTACTCCTCTGGCTCCACCCCCTGAGAGTGTGACAGCTGGTAGCCATGGAAACACTTGCTGGAACCATGTTAATTGGCTGAAATGATTTTGACAGCTCATCCTGCTTTGAGTAAGACCTCCACCTATCCATCGTTGTCCGCCCCCCCCCCCCACATTCATGCACACGTACTTTCACAGACACACACACACACACACACACACACACACACCTCAACCCAATTAAGAGGCAGTTTAGGGAAAAGGAAAAGGGAGAGCGATAAGTAGGAGGGGGTCGGATTGATATTGAGTAAAGAGGGATGAGAGAAAGAGGGAGAGAGAGGAAGAGCAGAAGAAGAAAGGCAGCCAGAGAAAGGTACTTGTATAGGAGTGACAGAATCAGCTTTTCTCATCTTTAAACAAAAGGAAACGCTCTGAATGTTTCATGCACTGCTGAATAAGTTATGTCCTGTGTGTGTGTGTGTGTGTGTGTGTGTGTGTGTGTGTGTGTGGGGTGAAGCTATGTGTGTGCACACCTCTCCACATGTGAGTGCGTGTTTTGTTGTGTGTGTGTCATATGTTACATTAAAGGAGCAGGGATGACTGCCACATGGGAAGCTCAGCACTTCACAAAGTAGGCACCTTATTCCACACTTACAGTGTAACTAACGTCTCCTCCCAAAGGCCCAGGAAATAACCAAAATCAATGTAGCGCAGAAAGAATACAAGGGAATGTTATATAATAGCAAAAGCTAATCTTGTTTTTGTTCCAAATAAATTTGTTGGATGTGCTGTAGGGTGGAAAGATGTACAGTATGTTGTAAACATGGCACAAAGGAGGTTTCTAAGACAGAGGAAATGGAAGGAAGGAGATAGGAAATTAATTTGTAATATGTACTGAGTGCAGAAAAGGCAGAAAGGAAGGAGGGGTCACCTCAGGAAAAATGGGACTTACAGCTCTTGGGGACTGCCCCCACCCCTAGTGTGCTCACATTAATGTCCCTGTCGAACAACGTCCGCCCACATTACTTCCCCCGCAGATCACTCATGTAACACACAGACACACACACACACACACACACACACACACACACACACACATACACAACGTAAGTATAAAGTATAGAAATACATATGAATAAACATAGAATGGAACACATGCCAGTAGCAGTGCTGTGTGGACACACAAACAGAAGAAGACAGACAGACCGACAGACACAAACAAAAACAAATACTGCAAGCGGAAGTAACCAGGCCGTCGGGGCAGAGCTACGCTGTTGCCAAGCAACCAGGTGATTCCTCTAAAGAGCCTCTCCATGGGAGATTCCCTCGTTTGTGTGAGGGCATGTGTGTGTGTGTGTGTGTGTCTGTTTGTGTGTGTGCGTGCGTGCTCGCCTGTGTGTGTGTGTTTGTAAGTGTGTCCAGTAAGTTAGTGCTGACACAGTGAGCGTACAATGTTCTGGGACGCGACCATGGTAACCGCCCAGCAGGCTACAGAAGAGCTTGGTTGATGGCATTTGTAGTTTTTTTTTTTTTCTTTTCCTCTTGGTGTACATTTTATTTATTCAGCAATTATGTATTTATATTTTATAGAGTACACAGAGTGCTGACGGTGGCAAATACCCACAAACGTGCACTGACAAGCGCACCACGATACAGAGGATGCAGAGGAACTCATACACACACACACACACACACACACACACACACACACACATATAGGTACGCACACATGGAGTCATAAGCAGTGGAAAATATTCAATTTGGAAAGCCTTGACAAATCCCTGAGGTGTTGCTGACGTTTATGCATGCTTCGGAGTATTCATAGCCGCTCACAGAAACTACAGCACTGATAACTACACACACACACACCCACATTCACATTCACACCTTCACATCTACAGCCAAAGTGGGTAGAGATTGAGAAAGAGGGTGAGAGACAGGGCGGGGAATGCAAGGTGAGATGATGAAGACAGAAGCACATTGAGGTTCACGGAGGTGACGTGAGTTTTTACTATTTGTGACTCCTACTGCTGTATAAATGGAGGCCAGTAACAATGCTACTGACAGGCGACTGTAACCCTGGAGATTCATTAGGGCTTGTCACTATGGAAACCTCCAATCAGTGAAAAATGTTAGCCATCTTTTCCTACAGCTAATGGGTCCAAGGAAATACCTGAGTCCTTCCAAACACACATACACACACACCCAGACACACACAGACGTGCACAACAATGACCTTCTTCCCGTCTCCCTTGTGTTTAGACGTAAAGTAAACATCTAGGCGCTAGGTGCCTTGTAGGTACAACGGCTCTGAGAAAGTACAGAGCTGAAACACAAACAGACGATGTCTCTTTCACATTATAAACAGAAACACACTCATACGCCCAAACACACCCACACATGTTCGCAGTGCTTCAGGTGCACCCCCGGCAGTGAAGGATATGGGTGGCAGACAGCTCGAAGGCACCAGGAGCGGGGTGGGCTGGTCTGGGTCAGAGCCAAAAGAACCACTGGTGCAAGAGTGGGGTACGGCAGCTCCTCCAATTCGTCCTCCTCCTCTTCCTCCTCTTCCTGCTCCCTCGCCTCTCCCTCAACTGACACATGCACCTTCTCCCCCTCCTCCTCCTCATCCCCTTCCTCCTGCGTTGGTCCTCTGTGCTGCTCATGCAGGTCTGGCTCCTGGGTGCCCGTCATGGCCGTGCTGTGAACAGCCTGAACCTAAGAGAGGGCGCAGGGGCACCGGCAGACTGTTCAGGACATAGCAACATATCGATGCATGTGTGTGCATCATGCGTGTGAGTGTGAGTGTGTGTGTGTGTGTGTGTGTGTGTGTGTGTGTGTGTGTGTGTGTGTGTGGTGTATTTCTGCTGTGTTGCCTTGTGGCGGTTACTGCAGCTCCTGAAACAAACCGGAACTGCGCTAACTGTCAAGCCTGCCATGATGTCCACAAGACCCTTCACCCTCTAGCACAGCGGCATAAAAAAATCCTTCTGTATCTTTTTTCTGACACAAAAAGCGACCTCTAGAAGAAGAATCACAGCCAGCGAGCAGTCCTGAGCAGGAAACATAAATCTGCATATATCTAAACAGAGTGAACTAGACATGAGCGAAGGTGCAAACGCAGAGTCAGTGCAGATACCAGGAAGCACTTAGACCCCTTGGGTATAATCCTACAGCTGTACGATTCTGTGATGACAACAGGCCATTACTGCTGATGCTTTTAATCCAGACTGGCTTTAAACAATCTGGACATACAGAGAGAAAGTAGCTTAGATGGCTATTTCATATAGAGAGAGAGAACAAAGCCACTGATATTGTCAGTTCTTCGATTTCTTTTTTTTCATTTACAATAACTTCCCAATTCTGATGATTAGTGTTACTTAAAGCTCGCCGAGTTAGAATTTTTCCTCGAGCTATAATTTGAGATAATATCTCTTGAAACGCAGTGACATTGTCGAGCTACGGCAGCCTGTGGTTAATTGTTATAAGTACTGACTGGAATTTCTTGGAGCACAGGAATATCATGTAGGAAATGTCAAGTTGAATGATAATCTCTGTTTAAATTAAGAGGGTGATCACAAGAGCGGATTCATTTCTTGGCTTCAGCGGGTTTTTTTTTTTTTTTTTTTTAATTTCATCACATTTTCTGCTTTATTGGGCAGTATGCAGCGGGGTTTGGCAGGAAGACATGGGAGTTGGAGCATGTGACACAATCCACATTGTCACAAGTACACAGCAAACGCTCCCCACTGGTCCACCGTGTGCTCATTTCGTTGCTTATTGATCCCCAGAGATTGTGAAAAACATTATTCCAAAGCTTCCAATATGTTATTAAGTTGGAGCAAGAGCTGGATTATTTGGACAACTAACATAAAGAAGAATCAGAACAATAGAAGCCTGGGCAAACCACAAGTCCATGCAAGCATATATATATATATATATATATATATATGTGTGTGTGTGTGTGTGTATTCAGCCTACAGTAAGACAGGACAACAGGAGAGCTGGCAAGTTCACAGCACAGAGAGGAGTATACTGTGACTGTGTATTTGATGAAAATAATGAGACTGAATCTGCCAGTACCTCTTTTTCCTGTGTATTTTCATTATGGGCACGTAGCCTAGACTGTTTGAGGAGTCCAGGGCCACACAGTTTAAGGCTTTTTGTTGTGATTCAATAGTAGCTATTGGGTAGACATCAATTAACCATTGAAAAAAAAACAAGAAAGCCATTCTCCTGCACAGTTAAAAACCTGCTGATTTCAAAACATTTTAAGAACTCATTATGAGTCTCCCTTCCTAACAGCCTGGCCATGTGGAAATTAAATCATCCTGCTGAATCTAAACTAGACACCAGAACAAAATATATTCATATCCTCTATAAGACCTCTGAAACCCATTAACTCAGGTTTATATTCACACGGCCACACATCACAAATGCATGAACTGCCCAATTTCTTTACCAAGAATTTCTAACAGTGTGTCTCAGGATAAATAAAACCATAGCAAACAACAAATGTCTAGAAATGACTGACATTTTCTTTTTAGTGTGTTATACAGTGATATACATCCTTCTGAAGGCCAGCCAGTAACATGTACCGACGACATCTACCAGGCAGAGAATTTCCCAGCATTACTGTGAGACCTCAACAGGAAAACAGCCTATTGATACTATATTAAATTGTAGAATCATATAAAAACCAAATATCTCAAAACAAATCTCAACATTTTGTGATGGGCCTGTTATCGCCTATGATGTAAAGACAATATATGCCCACGATAAAGTACGATAAGGTCACTGACTTCCTATATTGTAGGCACATCACATGCACTCTTGAACTATGAGAATATTATTTTATTTTTTATTTTTTTGTGGGAGACACACCGCCATTGCCAAAGAGCGACATCATTGAATCTGGACATTTTCTACTGTGCCACGGGCATTCAGCCAGCGAAGTGCCCAGGACAGGAGAGCAAAGAAAAAGTACATTATAGCACAAAAAACAAAAACTTTGAATGCAGTCCTCACCGGGCAGCAGCGTCCGTCCACCAGCGTCACTCACTCCAGGTCCGCCGTGCGCCCTGAGCTCCCGGAGCCATGGTGCTCCATCTGAGAGCAGCCCGCCGGTCCTATGCCTCCTCCCCCCTGCCGATATCCAAACTCAGTCCGTCAGTCCGGAGGATGAAAAAGAGGCGAAACAAAGAGAGAGGAATGTGACGCAGAAGTTTTAATAAATGGGAAAAGTAAAGTTAAATAGGACCAAGCGGTCTCCCGTGCGTCTGCGTCCTCTCAGCCGCTGGACGCGCTCTGCGGTGTCAGGTACCGGAGTTCAGGCGCACCGGGGAGAGGGAGAGCTGCGTCAAGCCAGCCAGAGAGAGGCATACCGGAGATGCACGGATTTTACCTTCAAAATAAGACTGTCTGCTCCCGGAAGCAAGTAGTTTAATGAAATGTTGGTTAAAAAATGACTCACAGTTCAGACTACGAGCTGTTTTTGTCTGATAAAATAGTCATTGTATCAGATTACAGTCATACATCTTTGTCATGACTTCGCCACGACATGACAGACTACAAGTTGATCAGCGACCAATCACAGCTTGCTGTGTTTCACAGCTGTTGTCATCAGGAAGTCGGTGCCAGGGACCGATTTAAAAAAAAAACAGACTTTATGGGGAACACCAATATAAGGAAACAAAGCAGCGTGATACTCGCTTGAGTGTTTCGAAAAGCCTAAAAAAAAGAAAGAAATATCAAAAAGGCAGGGTTGTTGTAGCTCCACAAATCTTTCTAAGTGTGCCCGGAAGAAAGCTCTTGTGCTACTATTGGTCAATGTCACTGAACACGTCACAGAAAAGGTTTAGAGACTGCAAAAAAAACAAAAAAAAAACTGACGCGCTAGTCTTTCCGTCAGGACGTCATGGAGCGTCCCAGATGCAGTATCGGTTGTTGTCCACTATGATACACTGCACGAGATAAAACGATCAAATGTGCCGTAATTGTACGTCCAACACCGTACATCTGTCAGGTGGAGCTATTAGTTAGTGAGCTAATGTTGTTTTGTGTTCACGTAATACACTATCGCTTGAACCTAAATCTTTTTAAGCAAACACTTCTCTGATACCAGCTTCTTGAATTTGCTAGTTTTTCAGTTTTCTCTCAATAAACTTAACATCTTTGTGATTTTCAGAGAAGACAAGCAATCTCAATATGTTTCTTTGGGTTAGTTACTTGAAAATTCAAGCAATTTGATGAAGCACAGCTTCACAAAAAATTGAAACAGAATAAACTAAATACATGATAAACTATATAAGCTAAAACAAAGATCTTTAAGTCAGATTTTGACAGAGCAGGGCCACAAGACGGAGGATGGAGAGCTCATCATAGCTGATATTGTGCTTCAGTGCTGCATTTCTTACAAATTTTTGATTAATCAAATTAGGGAGACCCAAATGTTATGGAGTAAGCCTGGGACATTTGGGGCTCCTGGGGGTCTGGGCCCCCTGGGTCTGTTGCCTGTTTTGCCTGGTTGGTACTCCAGCCTTGGAAATGCCTTATCATACAGACAAATGGTGAGTGAATTTGAAAAACTAAAAGATCAAATAATGATATTCATTATATGCCATGGCCCTGTATCTTCTCCAATAACAGTTTTATTTTGAAGGTTTTGACTGGAGAACTTTATTCTTAATACAGGATAACTTGACACTGACAGAGCGAGTCAGAGCATGTGACTTGTCCCCTCTCTTCCACCTCACAGTAAGCTCCATCCCAACATCCCTCTTTCTGTCTCTGCCTGGCGGTTATCTCACCAGCCAGCGACCCGGACAGTGTGTGTGTGTGTGTGTGTGTGTGTGTGTGTGTGTGTGTGTGTGTGTGTGTGTGTGTGTGTGTGTGTGTGTGTGTGAGCGTGTGAGCGTGGGTGTGTGTGTGTGTGTGAGTGTGTGAGCGTGGGTGTGTGTGTGTGTGTAGGTGGAAGGTGCCGTCATATAAGAGCCGAAGCTCCACAGTCACACTCAGCAGGGGTGTCGAGTCACTAAACCCAAAAGTGTGGCAGAGCTCCAACACAATACCTTGAAGTCAGCTTATGCTATGTAAGGTTACAGGGGACAAGGAATTACTAATGACTGAGTCTGTGCTATATAAAGTAACATTTTCATAATAGTGCTCAAAGACAATTTCAGAACCTTTACTTAAGTTAAAGTAAAGAATATGAGCATGTAAAAACCAGCTAACTCCATTACAAACACAAAATCCTGCAAAATATGAAAAGTAAAACTACTCTTTATGCAGAATTTATATATTTAGACCAACGTACAAGAAATATATGGATACCATTTAAAGACATGAAAGACACCGAAAATTAACACATACATTTATACAGAGTATAGTATTGTACAGTCAAGTGAATTAAGATAGATTTCAGCTAATGTTAAAATATCCTGTGACCCGAACAGATTGCAAATGGCCTACTGTATTTACATGAGACCAGAGATCAGAGGTAATGAGGCAGTTTTTGCCATAGAGGATAACAGATAAATAACAAACAATATAAGTATTTACATATTAGGAGTTTGATATTACTGGTACAGTCACATTAACAGTATTTTGATGTTGTATTGCTGGTCAAGGTGGATTTATTCATATGTAGTTTAATCTATTCCACTGCATATTTTATTATCATATGTTTTGGGTGA